ACGGTGTTGTCCTGGTTGTTAGCGTGAGAAAGAAATCCATGGTGAGGAGTGGTTTGCTCGTTGGTGCTCCCCTTAATATGTTCATGAGAGTGTGATGCAGATTTTTTTTCTCTATTGACTATTGGAGATGCTTCTTCCGGAACAGAAGCTCTGTCACATCGTGACGGGTGGTAACTCCATAGTTGCTTTCTGGCTGGGTTTGCGTCTCCAAAATGTGGTTTTGTGCACATCGTGAAGAAGGGCTCGATACTGGAGACAGTATCTTGCTTGGAGACGGGGCACTCACTTGCACTATAGGGAGACATGGCAAAATTAGAAGTAACATTGGTAGCAGGAACCAATCTTATGCTATTGCAGGTGTTGCAGTTGGAAGGTTGTTCTAGAACCCCTTTATTAAAGTTTTTGACCTACATTGATCTGATCATCCCGATTTGGTTTTGTGCCCCTGTTCTGCAGTCATTTAATTAGCTCCTCTCTCTCCCCTCGGCATTTAGCATGCCCGCTGCCAGCGTAGTCGTGGGCGGCGACTGCGGTCACTTTGCAGCTCTGCGTAGTCTCTGGGAGCCGAGTGGCCTTTGTCATATCTCATCAAATCGCTTCTCTGCTCACTGGCACTTTCTAGGTCTCCTTGTGTTCGCCCATTGCAGGTTTGGGTCGATGGTTTTTGTAGAGAATTGTGTGTGGTGTTCTAATCGAGGTCTTGCTGCAGCATTGTGAAACGCTGGTAAGGTTACTGTATGCCTGTTGGTCAGAATGCTTCGAGTCCAGTATTCCCAAACGTGCCTTGCCTCTTTTAGGCACCCCTTGTTGTTTACCTACCTGGCTACCACGTCCCAGATCTGTATCTTTGGATTCATGACCTTCAGTCTGTCAATCACTTTAGAATTATTTTAAATTTCATTCTGTTTTTACTAGAGACAGGAGGTCAGGAGTTGTTGCTGTGTGGTTTTGTTTCTGTCTGTTGCCATAAGGATGCCTTTCAGGCGTGTGGCTTCTTGACTGAACTACGGCACCGCGTACAGTCCGGTGTGTCTTTGCAGACTATCGGTGACCTGGATGAGTTCTCCATCTTGGGATGATCTCCTAGAGGCGCGTTGTTAACTTACAAACAGCTGTGCTTAGGTTTGGCTATGGTTAATTAACGTAGCTCGGTAAATATCTTGTGTCGGTGCCTGACCTGCTCTTTCAGATCGTAGTGCAGGCTTTTTGTTCGGCTGAAGAAATAACCTGTTGTTTTTCCCTCTGATGGCGCCTGGGTGTCCAAAGGCAGCAAGGAAGCCAGACCTCACTATGGAGCAATGAGGCTTTTGCAGCTGCTTCTTCCCGGGAAGAAGGCCCAGGACCGCTCATGTTCTTATGTTCTGTCTCTTATTGTCGCACTGGTTCGAGGGCTTTTCGGTTGCCGAATTTGAAGTGAGGCAAAAAGCACCTAACAGAATCAGAAACTGTTCCTGACTGTGGGTGTTTGTTCTGGGCCAGGTGGAGATCCACTTGGAGGAGATACAGAACGAAGGTCTCCTGGTGTCATGGGCGTTCAAGGACAGACCGGACCTGAACCTTTCGGTTCTTCCGAGACTTCAGCTTCGCGAGGTGAGCAGCAAACGGCGGGAGGCTGGACTTGAGCAGAGGAAGGATGGGAGGGGCGGAAACAGCACCGAGCCAAGAGGAAGGCTGCTGCAGAGGGGAGAAGTGGTCGACTTGCTGTTGTGGCCCTTTAGGGCGAGGGAGGGGATTTTTTCGCCCTGGAATCGATACTAGCTCAGCTCGGCTGAAACAGCGCATCCTCAAGAGGGCCAAAGCTGTTACCGATGTCTGTTTTCCAAGTGTGGTGTAACAGCTGAATGGGAGTCTGTGTAGCAAAAAAGGCTTTCTGACTACGTAGGTCCTCCTGCCGTTGTCAGAGGCACAGCTGCAAAATGAGCTGGGTTGGTTGGGGCTTTTTCTTCGTGTGGGTGGTTTTTTTTGTTTTTTATTTAATTGCTTGTTTTGTTTATTTGGATTTTTTTGGAGAGGTTAGCGTGCGTAAACAGCGGGTGTTAAAAGTTTAGCGAGCTGAACGCTTGCACTTCTGTGATCCGAATAGGTTGGTTGATCTGTTTCTTTTATTGGCACCCTCGTTGCTTTATTGCGAGTAGTTGTTTGGATTTTGGCCGTTCTCCCAAAAGTGCGATAGTACTGTCTGGTGAGGTGGAGAGGGTGTGGCAAACTGTAAAAGCTATATTGTCAGAATTTGCAATGGGTAAACTACGGATGTAGAGGCTTAGTTAGTTTTATTTAGATAACTTACATTTGCCTGTGGCTGTTACACAGAAGCTTTAAGTGCCAGAGAGAGCGAGTACAGGATAGGGGAAGGAGGACCTGGGAGATTATTGCCAGCAGAAAGACTGCGTAGCGTCTCAGAGGCTCGAGAGGCAGTTGGAGATGTACAAGTAGAAAAGGTGTCTGCCTCGTTGTGACTTTCTTGCATTTCCTCTTGATTTGCGGAGAGAAGAATGAAGGAAGAGTGGATCTGTCCACCATAAAGGATCTGATCGAGGATACCATTGTCAGCACGCGGCCAGCCATGATGGTTAATCTGAAGGCCTGCGCCGCCGGAGCCGGTGCGGTAAGGCGCTCTCCTCGTGTCGTTCTTGTGCCTCGAACGCTTTGCCCGGGGGCGCTTATGAGGGCCGTGGCTCAGATGGGAATCCGAGGGTTGAGACTCCCTTCTGGGCAACAGCCACGTTCTGGCCTGCGCTGTTGTAGGAGTTGGGGTACCGTTGCACGGGGTGTAGGGATAATGAGAAACTGCTCCGAAGGGCAGCTTTGTTTTCACCTTGTTTCCTGAATGCCGAATGCTGGTTGCGTTGAGGTGGAGCTGGACTGCCCAAGATGCGTCTCTGTTTTGGCGATCTGTCCGTTGCTCTGAACGCCGACGCTCTGCCCAGGGTGGCCTTTCCGGGCACAGAACAGTCCACAGTTTAAATTTCCCATCTGAAATAACACGGGGGCCCACCGGAGGTCGATAGCTTGGGGAACCCTCAGCATTTCTCAGGGGCTCTGTGGCTATTCCCCTATGTTGGTGCGAGGAGCTACTTAAAAAGCGCAAGGACCAACGTCCCATGTCTCCCTGCTGTCTACTGGCGACTGAACGATAAAGGTGACGGTCTTGCTCTCGTCATTCCTCAGGTATCCAGCAATAAGTTGACTCAAGAGTCCTCATCCGGAGTAGCAGCAGCCCCTCCTTGTTCTAAGCTGTTGCTCCGGAATCTTCGAGTGCTCAACTTGGGCTGCCAGGGAAAGGGAGGTAAGTGTGAAAACACTGCCCATCTGCAGGGGCAAGGGCATGGGTGGCGTGTTCGGGGTGAGGGGATTTTTTGGGCGGGTTTGAATGGAAAAGAGAGGCACGCGGCCGCTGAGCTGCTGCCTTGTGTTGACAAATGCACGTGTCTGCTCTGTCCCTCTGTCACAGGAGTTGGGGAGATACGCTGCGTGGCAGAGCTAGACAGCCCCCTGCAGCAGAAGCGAACGAGGCCGGTGACAGCTGGCAGCACTGGTGCTGCAGCAGAGATGGAGTGGAATGAGGAGCTCCTTCTGTAAGTGTCCACCCTCCTTCCGGTGGAGGCAGACCAGCACGGTCTTTGGGTGTTGTTAACGCGCCGCAGTAGCTGATGCGGATGCTGCAAAAGTGAAATCTGCACCGCGTGTTTGTGCTGCCTGTGTGCCGGGCTGCTGATTCGAGCGACTGGCCCTGGCTCGCATACGTATTTCCGTTTCCCCTGGATGCCCTGCGTTTTACCCGGACGGGCAGAAGCATCGTTGGTGGGCGGCGTGTGGGAGCGGCGGGTGCAGAAGGCCTGGAGTGTAAATCCCAGCCTTCCAGATGGGTTGCCCTCTCGACTTCCCCTGGCAGCCTAAGCAGCCCTGCGGGGAATGCAAACCGGAGTTCCCACTCTGAACTCTCCTGTTTAGTTTGCTGCCCATCGTCCTGTCTTCCAAAGTAGCCCACGCGTACCAGAGCTTTCGAAAAGGTGACGCAGCATGTGAGATTTGAGGGAGGGAAGAACGGGAATGGGGTTGTTTGCTCTGTGGCCATTCTGCGAAGATTGCCTAATACCAACCCATCTCTTTGTGTTTCAACAGGGAGTTGGGACCTAGAAGTAAAGAGCTGAAGCTACAGGTGCTGGGGAACGGTGACAGAGGGGGAAGTGAGTACGGGTAGCCGTAAGATGGATCGTAAGACGGGGAGACAAAAACGCCTAAGGGACTTCCTGTGCTCTGAGCCTGTGGTAGTTCTGCGTTGGTACGATGCGTGATGAGCTCTGCAAAGGATTTTTTGATATCCCACTTTATGTGAGCCTCTGACTGGGTGAAGTAACTCTGGAGTCCGTTCTTCCTATTGAAATGCTCTTACTCTCACCTTTTTGGTACCTGGGAGGTTCCTGTGGCCTGCCCGTCTCCACTCCAAAGCGGAGAGAGGGATGCGGGGGATTGCCCCCACGTATTGGAAGAATGTTGCAGAAGGCTCTTAACTCTGTTCGTTTGTACTGGGTCAGGGACTAACCGCAGCACCTGTTTTTGATGGAGGCCACACAATGGCCACCTCTTTAAGAGCGTCAAACGCTGGATTGGTAAAGAGGAATGGAGGAGTGCTGCTTGCCCCCTCCCCCTGTTGAACCCGGGAGCTACCGGAGTCACAGGGATCCGCTTCGTTGGCCCGCGGTCTGCTTCCCAAAAGCAGAGGTTGTCTGGGAGACGTCTGAGGTGCTGAGGTCACGTGGTGTGTTTTGTTTTCCTGTTCCTTCTCACAGATGTGCTGCTGGCACATGCCACGCTTTTGCTCGATTCGTTGGGCAAACGACCGTCCGGGAGACAGGTCTGCTCATTGGCCCCGGGAGCTGGGCGGTCGCTGGCGGCTGAAGCTACCGGTGTGCTGGAGGGGGTGGAGGTGAGCTCACAACTCTGTAGGCTCGGCATGAATGTGCGCTCCGGAAGCGTTCACGATGTGAGCCTCTGACTGGAGACGAGTGTGATTAGGCCTGGGCTCGTCGCAGGGGACTGGCAGAGCCTTAGGCTGAGGAGGGATGTCGCCCGGCCCTCAGTCCTTGAGCCTCCCTCTGCTCAGCCGATGTCGTAGCGAGGATGGCTCCTTGGTGCCCAGAGCGGTGGCTTTTGTCACCTGTGTGCCTGCCTGTCTGTCTGGGAGGAGGAGAGCCTCTCTAAGCTGTGCTTTTTACTCTTTGCAGCTGCTATTCCAGGAGTCTCCCGCATCTTTGGACGCTCAGCATGCCTCATCTCTGCGAACCAGCATCACCCCCACCAAGAAGGTGGAGATGGACCGGACCATCATGCCCGACGGCACCATTGTGACTACCGTCACCACGATTCAGTCCCGGCCCAAGGCGGACTGCAAACTGGGTGAGGCTGCCCTGCGATAGGCATCTCGTACGGGTGGCCGCTACGGGGCCACAGACTCGGCCAACCC